TTTTGAAATCTTGGAATGATTTATGAAAAAACAGCCACTCTCAATACCCAAGTAGATTGGAGGGTTTTGATGAATCCCACATTTGATTCCCAAATCTTAAAAAAAAAATTATTTTTGGGATTTTTTTTAAATATATACTGTCTCTGTTTCTATATATTAATATTTATTTATTTATATATATAATATTTTTTATTTCAATTTTATTTTATAATATGTATATTAATATATATTTATATGTATATTAATATATATTTAATATACATATATAAATATATATTAATATAAATATTATAAAAAATTGAAATATATATTTATATATTTATATAAATATATATATTTATTTCAATAGATATAATATATCTAATATACATAATTGAAATATACATATTAATATTAATATAATTTATATATAATAAAATATAAATATTAATTGAAATATACAAATTGAAATAAATATATTTATATAAATATATATAAACACATATATTTGTATAAATATAAATATAAATAAATTTATAAATATATATAAATATTTTTAAACAAAAATATTTATATATAAATATATATTATTTATTTCAATTGATATAATATATATAATATACATAATTGAAATATACATATTAATATTACTATAATTTATATATATTATATACATAATTGAAATATACATATTAATATATATTACTATACATATTATAAAACAAATTTGAAATAAATATATTTATAAATTTATATAAATAAATATATTTATTTATATAAATTTATATAAATAAATATATTTATTTATTTATATAAATATATTTATATTTATATTTATAAATATTTATAAATATATTTTAAACAGATAATTAATATTTATATATGAATATATATATGGTGGATGAGTATGTGGGATAAGCATTTGAACGAGGAAGAAGAAAGATATGAAAAGAAAAAAGAAATTAAAGGTAAAAAATTTATTATTAAATTTGATACCCATTCCTTACCAATATTTACCAAGCACCCCCATTTGTAATCATACCTTTGTCCAAAACCCATACTAAGTTTTTTTGTATGATTCCAATTACAATTCCAATTCCTAAGCTTGAACCAAGCGCCCCCTTAGTTCCTTAAATATCTGTGTATAATTCCTATTTTTCTTATCCACGTCTTTACCGAATTTATCGCATAGAGTAGCTAATTCAAAAACTTGCAATTATAGAGGAACAGGGGATAAGAGATAAACATGAAAAGTTTTTGAGGGGTAGAAATTATGAGATTATGAATTTCTGGTTAAATCTATAGCTGTGTTTCATATTTTTTAAGGGCTTCTTTATTAGCCTGTGATTTCAATTAGATTTTGTAATGAAAAGTTAGCAAGTGGAGGATAATATTTCAATGTTGTGGCTGATTTTAATCAATTTGTAGATGCTATAGATGTCGAGGATGTTCTCTGACGGGTTTTTGATATGTGTACAAGTTTAAATCCAATTTATACTCGTTTTGACTGTAAGTATACAGATCAAATTAGTAGTTTATGGCATATATCCAATCGATCCCACAAGGAAGATTGGACAATTACCGGCACTACTAAAGTTTCTCTATTATTTAGACGATCAATGAATTAAAAGAAACAAAACTATACTAAACTTATGCAAGAAAATAGTAAATTAAAAACTCCTTAGGTTATGGTATGCCTAACAACTCATGCAAGTGAAATTACCGGTAAAATAAATGGTATTATCTTGACTAGTTATGGCCTAATTTCTTAATATACGTGATACCAGCTTTCGTGGTGTACCAACTATACTTATAGTTAATTCATACCTACTTTTCGTGTTTATGAAACTAACTATAAGATCATTTCTTCTATGAAATTACATGAAACAAGTTACTAAACCCACAAAGGTGCACCTCTACTTTCGTGAGTGTACTCCCTAGATTTATCACTTTCTTAAACTAGTGTTAAATCTCAACTTTCATTGAAACTAAACACCTTAAGATTATGACAATTAATAGCCGATTAATCACGATTAGAGGAGCAAAAGTGATAAATAACTTGTTCAAAATAATATCATCAAATAGCCAAATAATAAACACTAACAATCATAGAAAGTTCAACAAAACCCAAGGCATAAACTTTAGAAACACCTAATAAACATAGAATCCAAACTTGTATATTAACTAAATAATAGAATCAAGTACAAAAGATAAAAGACTTTGGAAAGAAATGTAACCCTTGTCACATGAGTTGATCTCCTCCATCTTCACCTCCTTCTTATTCTTTGCCTAACTAATAAACAAGAAGGATGGATTAACTAATTAAACTATCCTATACTATACTAACCTAACACTAAGAAAATGTAAGAACTACATTTTAGTGATATTTCTTGCACTCTCCAACCTCTCTTGATTCTTGCAATTCATGGTTATTTATAGATGAATTTAGTTAAGAAATGAGGCTTCAAACATCACTTTTACAGCTGCAAAATAGTTGTCAGACGTCCATCCATAGTTGTGAATTATTGGAGGAGAAAACAAGTTGTGCAAATGAAAAACAATCATTTCTGACCAGAATCCGGCCAAGTTGTCACCAAATTCTCGGAGCCTCTTTTATCCTTTATCTCTAGGTCGAACTCTTGCAGGAGCAGTATCCACTTTATGAGCCTCGATTTTGCATCTTTCTTGGTCATTAGGTACCTCGCTACATGATCAAAAAAATACAATAACTTTAACGCCTAACAAATATGACCTAAACTTTTCTAAAACAAAGATAACCGCAAAAAGCTCATTTTCAGTAGTAGAGTAGTTCATTTGACCTCCATTCAAGGCTCGGGACGCATAGTAAATGACATGAACTGCCTTTCCTACTCTCTGCCCCAACACAGCCCCCACTGCATGGTCATTGGCGCCGTACATGATCTCAAAAGGTAGACTCCAGTCAGGGGGTTGGATGATCGGTGGCGATATCAATAACTCTTTTAATTTGTCGAAAGCTCTTTCACACTTGTCATCGAATTCAAAGGCCACATCTTTTTGTAAAAGATGGAACAAAGGGGCTCCAAATTTTGAAAATTCTTGATGAACTTTCGGTAAAATCCTGCATGCCCAAGAAAAGAGCGCACTTCCCGCACACTCGCGGGGTAAGGTAAAGCCGATATAATGTCTATTTTAGTCCTATCAACCTCAATACCCTTAGAGGACACTACATGACCTAAGATTATCCCATGTTCAACCATAAAATGACATTTTTCTCAATTAAACATGAAATTAGTTTCTATACATTTCAACAGGATCAATTTCAAGTTATCTAGACAAGTATCGAAATTATCACCGTATAAACTAAAATTGTCCGTAAAAATCTCAATAATTTTCTCAACATATTTTGAAAAGATTCTTACTATACATCTCTGAAATGTTGCAGGTGCATAGCACAATCCAAAGGGCATGCGTCTGTATGCAAAGGTCCCGAACGGGCAAGTAAAGGTCGTCTTCTCTTGATCCTCTAGTGTGATTGCGATCTGAAAATACCCTGAAAATCCATCCAAAAAGCAATAATAAGCCCGACAAGCTAAACGCTCAATCATTTGGTCAATGAAAGGAAGAGGAAAATGGTCCTTTTTTGTGACGGCATTTAATTTGCGATAGTCTATACATTGCCTTCATTCAGTGGATTTACGCACTGGCACGAACTCATCCGTTTGGTTGGCCTCCACTGTCACTCCTGCCTTCTTTGGAACTACCTGTATTGGGCTCATCCATGGGCTATCTGATATCGTGAATATAATTCTCACATCTAGCAATTTCAATATCTCTTTCTTGACCACTTCCATCATGAGGGTATTGAGTCTCCTTTGAGCTTGTCGTACAGGTTTTGTATTTTCTTCGAGTCTTATTCGATGCATATAGATAGAGGGGTTGATTCCCTTAATATCGAAGATGGTTCACCCTATCGTCTCTTTATGTTCTCTAAGGACTCGGATTAGCTTCTCCTCCTGGATTTCTGATAGTCCCGCTGAGATAATCACCAGGAATATTTCCTGCCCAAATATGCATATTTCAAGTATTTTGGTAGAGGTTTCAATTCCAACATAGGTGCCTGCACCACAAATAGTAGTACCCTCTAGTGAGATTCGAGTATAAAAACAGGTGCAAGTTCATACCTTTTCGTCGTGGTTGGCAACGAGTGTAACGCCCCTATTGTACATTTCAGATTTTCACTTAATTCTATCTCAGGAATTGTCTCTAACTCGATGTGTTTGGTTAAAGTAACCTCCAACTCATCCCTGTCAACAATCTCAAATACTTCCTGCACCGCAGGGTCAATAACATTCATAGAAAATATGGAACTAAAATTGGAGTTCTAGGGGTATTTCATAGTCTCAAAGATATTGAAATGAACAATTTTTTCATCAAATTCCATGGATAAGGTTAGGGGTGGGCATAGGTCGAGTACCCGTCCCGAACGGCAATTGGCTGACCCGACCCTAACATATCGAGTCACTAATTTTTTGACCCTAATCCGCTCCGATCTTCCTCAGGTACCCGATCCTCGGATACCCGAAAAATAGGGGCGGGTCATAGGGTACCCGCCCCTATTTAAAGAACGCAAATTCTGCAAATTCATAAGACATAAGATGAACCTGCTGGACGATAGCATCATTCAAAAAAAAAAAGGCAATAGCAATATAGCATCATTCAAATTAGACAAAGACAAAGCATATTCAAATCTCAAAAATGATCAGTAGCAGTAGTTCCACACCAAATCATAAAGCTAGAAATATCTACTCTGATACATAACTTCCAAAAAGGGCCTATAAGTGAGAAAAATGTACACTATATAGACATTCTCAAATCTAGCAAACATGGCATAATGCATTGACTAGGCAATAGGCATAAATCGAGAAGCTGTCTTCATTTTCCTCCCCTAGCCATGCCATGACAGTTAGTTTCAACAACCTCAATGTTTCAACAACCTCAACCTTCTACAACACATGAAGGAGCACAATCTTCAAGAATCATCAATCTTCAATATTAATAATAGAATGCTCCACTGTCAAACCTAAAAAAAAAATTTCCAAAAATAAAAGCAACCAAGAAACATATGAGCACAAGTTGAAACTCAAATGAATAAGAAAATTTTCAACGCAATGATAACAAGATATGAAAAGTATTACCTGATTCCATTTCTTCAAGTTCAGTTATACTTTCTTCCAAATCAATTGGTTGAATACCCTTGCGAAGCCAATCTTGTCCACAAATTATAGCCTCCACCATTCTTGGAGTTAAAGAGCTTCGAAAAGAATCCAACACACGGCCTCCCGTACTAAAAGCAGACTCGAAGGCAACAGTAGACATCGGAATAGCTAATACATCTCTAGCAATTGCAGCAAGAATTTGGAACCTATGAGCATTATCTCTCCACCAATCCAATATGTGAAAGTTTGGACAGTGAAAATCTTCCTTCATTTTCATCAAATAGATGTCCAATTCCGTTTTATTGTGAGTGCTATCTAATGTATCAGCTTTTTGAGAATACTTTGCATGCATGTAATCTGATGCCCCTTTAACTGTAATTGCATCAACATCCATTTTATCCATTTCCCTAAACTGATTATGACTTATTACTTCCTTATGAGGTGATTTTTCAGCAGAATAAAAGTCAAATAGGGAATGTAACACCTTTTCCGCCTTAACTTTTAACATTTTCGCATTCTTAGGATCATATGCCTCATCAATTGCCCATTGAACATAACTTAGTTTATGCCGGGGATCAAGAACAACAGCAATCAGAATCAATATGTTAATCCTTTCCACATTATCCCAATATTTATCATATTTTTTCTTCATATTCCCAACCATAGTTGACAAACCAAAGTCATCACTTTCTTGAAATGAATTAAGAAGACCACCAATGCCAAAAATTTCATTCATATATACATTTCCTGTCACATAACGTGAGCCTGACATTTTCACAGTAGAATCATAAAAAATTTGAAGAAAAGGCAACAAATCTTTTGCATACTCCCAATCCATTTCAGTTGGCACACCCCTCACCTTAGAACTCCTACGAGTATCATTCTCACTTTGTGGAGTTAACTCTTCGACATATTTGCTATCCACAGTTTCTAGCAACTCAAATGCCTTTTGAAATTTTAGAGCAGCCTCTAACATTAAAAATATGGAGTTCCACCTAGTTTCAACATCAAGGCATACAAGACTTTACTTTCGATTCTTTCTTTTTCTATGCAAGATTTGAATCTTTGAGCTCTAGCAGGTGAAGACCTAACATATCTCACAGCTGATCGAATTCTAACAATAGAGTCTTCCAAGTCTTTCAATCCCTCCCTAACCATCAAATTCAAAACATGGGCAGCACATCTTATATGCAAGTATTCTCCATTTAAGACAATACCTTTCCAATTAATAAACCTTCTTCTCAAATATTGCAAACAAGTGTCATTTGAGCTAGCATTGTCTACCGTAACAGTCAAAACTTTACTAATTTTCCAATCAAGCAAGCATTTTTCTACTGTCCGACCAATAACTTCACCCGCATGACTTGTAATAGGATAGAAACTTGAAATCTTTTTGTGCAATTTCCATTTATCATCAATAAAGTGAGCTGTCAAACACAAATAATTCAGATTTTGAATGGATGTCCAAGCATCAGTGGTGAGACAAATGCGTGAGGATAAAGTTTCAAAGTATGCCTTCAAACTTTTCTTCTCATCTAAAAAAAGCTTATGGCAGTCTTTAGTAAAAGTTCTACGTGATGGCATTTCAATCCGTGGCTGCATAAACTGACAAAAATCTAGAAATCCCTCACTTTCCACAACTTTAAAAGGTAGCTCATCTATAATCACCATCCTAGCCAACATTCTCCTACATGATTCTTGATCAAACATATGGGTTGTTAATGTTTTTCCCCCTCCCTCTTTTGCTTTAAACTCCAGCGTCTTTTGCCTCTTATCCGTATCATTATACGGATATTTTTTACACCTATGAAGGTGATTACTCAAAGAAGTAGTACCATTTTTGCTTGCACAGGCAATCAATTGTTGACAATATTTACAAGCAGCTTTCTTGTCTTTTGTTTCTGTACCTATAACAACTACATAATGCTCCCAAACCCAAGACCTACTGCTCTTGGTAGACATTTTTGTCTCGGATGTTGGAGGAGGTGGTACTTGACATGTCTCAGTTTCAGAGGCTCTAGCAACAATACTTGGATCCATTGATGATGAATGATCAACATTTGGGCTTGCAGCTGTAGTAGCTATATTATCCCCTGTACTTGACATCTGAAAAATTCAAAAAACAAATCAAATGAAAATCCCACTTCTCTACCATATGCGCAGCTAATACATAGCTCAGAAACTCCTATAAAACCATGTCCAGATTCATCAAATACATAAAATAAAGGGTCATACATAGAAACAAAAATTTCAGTACTGAATAAAGCAACAACCATGTCAGTTTTACTTGACACTCAATCATAAATTTATTACCAGCAAAATAAAAGCATTGGAAAAAATTCTAGGTGAAAAACAGCACTTTAAAAGGTGTCTTAAGTATGTGACTAGTATCTTTCTCACTCATAATAATTTTCCATTTCTGTTGGATGGTGCAACTCCTCTTGTTTCCTTCATCATGATGGAGTTTTACTAATTAAGCAAGGTAATTGGTTATATGATATATAGAAGGAGAAGGCCAGACCAAGAGTACAAGTATGGTTTTTTACCTTCATTCTTTGTTTTTTTCACCTTCTATGAATTGTTGTCCTCCTTGACAATCCAATATCAAAATATAATGTGTATGTATCAACACATGCAAAACATAGAAAAAGCAACTAGAAATTCAAAGTTTAGCATGATAACAGAAATAAACTTGCGTGTAAACAACCCTAAATGCTCCTTGATTGTCATACATTGAATACAATTATTAACCACCACAAGTCTTAGGTTACTTCACCAATGAAAATTCAGTTTGAATCACATGGCTAAAATTTCAATGGTTACGGCAATGAATCATATCTGTTGCAAAGCAATGGAACTTATTTAGTTTTTATAACTGTAAGTAAATTTCAATGCCAAAATTGTTAACATATCATTTTCAAACATCTTCAAGTGGAGCATGCAATTTCAAACATCCTGCATCAATAGAAAATTTACTGTACTAAAAAAAGTTCTCCAACTATGCAAAATTTACGTCTAGATTATATGACTGATGACAAAGGGGAGAAGCCAATATTTGATTAATTTAAGAGAAGAAATTTCTGAACCATTTCTAAAATATTCATTCTTACAAATTGAGGTCGAGTCCAGAAATGAACTTGTATGAGCCAAATTGACAAGTTGAGAACTTCTGAACCACTTGAAGTATTCCATTGAGAAACCCATATCACAACTCAACCATAAAAATTCAAAATTTACCAAAATATTAGAGCTCCTGAAGAACGAGCAAGAAGAAATCAGCCCAATTCCCCAGTAAAAAATAGTTTTCTGTTAAACCTACCCAACTCAAACAGCATCATTATCCCGTAAAAGTTCAAAAAAGTACAACCTAGTTTCGATTTGGACGAAAGATCAGAATTCATGTAGCCAATTCGACAAATGCATAGACGTACACATAGATGCAGAATAGTTTTGCAGAAAGAATTGAACTTCAAAAAAAAGAGTTATTGAAAAACCTTGATAGCTAAACCACCCAGCTCCGGCGTTGGTGGCGTCAGGCGACCTTTTGGTAGCGTCCCTTTACTCGAAGGTAGAAAAGGACGACAACGGAGAAACAGGGCTGAAGAGAAAAGGATTCGAGTAAGGCAGTTTGAGGAGTTTTAACGGTAGTCGGTGTTTCGGACCTAGGTTTGAGAGACAAGGGCATCGGCCACTGAAGACTGAAGACTGAAGAAGTGAAAAGTGTCAGCTGAAGCTGAGGCTGAACTCTGAATGGATGACCAACGGATTGATCTAGGTTAGGAACTTAGGGTTAATAACTTAAAAAATTATAAAATTGCCCCTATATTTTTTAATATTTATATATTATACCCTCGGGTCGGGTACCCGCGGGTTTTTGCTTTTACGATCCGTACCCGTATCCGAATATTCCGGGTACCCGACCCTATCTGATCCGCTAAGAGAAATTGGATCGGATATCCTATTTTTTGGTGCGGGTCGAGTCGGATCTCTTGGGTTTTCGGGTCGACGGGTATTTTTGCCCACCCCTAGATAAGGTGCCCTTGTTAACATCTATTTTATTTTGTACTGTGCTTAGAAAGGGTCTACCTAATAGTAAAGGCGAGGGATCGGGGGAGTAATCATCATCCATGTCGAGTACATAAAAATCAGTTGGGAATACCAATTCATTAATTTTAACCAACACATTCTCAACTAACCCATCAGGGTATGCATTTGTTCGGTCAACTAATTGAATTATTATCCCAGTTTCTTTTAATGGATCTAGGTTCAGAGAAGTATAGATAAATTTAGACATTACATTGATCGACGCTCCTAAGTCCAACATGGTTTTTCTAATCAACGTATTGCCAATCCTACAGGAAACAGTAAATATACCTGGATCCCCGTACTTTGGTGGGAATTTCCTCTGTAAAACCGTTGATACGTTCTCCCCCACAATGACTCTCTCATCTCCCCTCAACCTTCTTCGATGGCACACAAATCCCTCAAAAATTTTACGTACTTTGACACTTGCTTAATTGCGTCTAGCAAGGAAATGTTAATCTCCACTCTGTGAAATACCTCCAGTCATTCACTGTAATGACTGGGTCCGAAAGTACCTCTGAATCTTTGCTGCTTATGCTTTTTGCCTCCGGCTTTTTCTCAATTTTCTTTTCATCCTTGTCCTTTGAAGTCACCAATTCGGGTTCTTGGATTTCTTTCCCGCTCCTTAAGGTCATTGCACTTACGTTTTTCGGATTCAATTCGAGTTGAGATGACAACTTTCCTTGAACTTGAGATTCCAGGCGGTTGATCGCCACTGCCATCTAATTCATCTGACCTTGCATTGCTTGTATCTGGCCCATCTGACTTTACAAGTTAGATTCCATCTTTTATTGAAATTACGCTTAGCTAGCAATTAACTGCTTCACTATTTCTTCCAAAGGCGAGCCTGAGCTTGGAGGTGGTGGTGGTGCTGGCCGAGGTTGGTATTGCTGATGATACCCTTGCTGTCTATTCGGCGCAAAATTTGATTGCCTATTCCCTCCATAGCTGAGGTTAGGGTGATCTCTCCAACCTGGATTATAAGTGTTCGAGTATGGGTCATATGACTTTCTTGGCATGGGCGCGTGACCAGCAATGTTTACTTGCTCTACACCCTCTTCCTGAACCATCGGGTACATCTCTGTAGAATGACCCGTGGCAGTATAAATTTTACACACCTTGGCCTGCGGTACACTTCTTACATCCAATTTTCTAACAAAAGATATTAATTCCGTCAGTTGCTGTTGGATAGAGGATGTTTCTACTTCATTCATTCTGCGTGTCGGGACATCTTCCCTTGTACCAAACTGCTGCAAATTCTAGGCCATTCCTTCAATTAACTCCCACGCTTCTCGAGGAGTCTTGTTCACCAACGCCTCTCCACTTGTAGTATCAATTATACTCCGATCTCTGAAAAGTAGCCCTTCGTAAAAGTATTGGATGAGCAATTGCTCGCTTATTTGGTACTGAGGGCACTTGATGCATGACTTCTTGAATCGCTCCCAGTAATCATAGTGCGACTCTCCTGGATGCTATTTGATACCGCATATCTCCTTCGTTAGGCTTGTAGCTCGAGACGCCGGAAAGTATTTATCTAGGAATTTTTTCTTCAGCTGGTCTCACGTGGTGATACTACCTGGTGGTAAGTAGTACAACCAGTCTTTCGCGGAGTCCTTCAAAGAGAAGGGGAATGCTCTCATTTTTATCTGTTCTTCTGTAATTCCCGGGGGCTTCATACTGTTGCAAACGACATCAAACTCTTGCAAGTGCTTGTAAGACTCATCACCTGGTAAACCATGGAAAGATGGCAAGAGATGAATTAGACCAGATTTTAAATCAAATGGAGTGTTATCATTCAAACTTGGAAAAGTAATGCATAATAGCTGCTAATTTAAATCAGGAGCAGTCAACTCCCTTAGTGTTCGTGCATTAGTCATAGAGATTTCTTCTTGA